ATTGGATCTGGACAACTCCTGAGCGTCGTTCGACTGTCGTTGCATCGCCCCAACGATGGATCCTAATGAGCTTTCGCGATTGCTACCTGCCACGTTTCCGTCCTTCTCATCCCTCTCCAGCCGATTTCGACCGGCGCCATCATACAGCTGTGCGCGCGGATTAGACTTGCCGCGTCAGCGTTTCATTTATTTATTTATTTATTTTTTCTCTTTTTGATAGAAGCGAAACGAGAAGAGTCGATATTCCCTTTCTTTTTTTTTTTGACGACTTATTTCTACGAGCTTCTCTATAGAATGCCATCCCTACCGAAGGATAATATTCACATTTTACCGAGATTTTTACACTCGCTCTGTCTCTACGACAATTACAAAGTAATTCGAGAGGATTGATCCAAGAGGAATAATACAGAGGATTAGCGTGGAATTTTTTTTGCAGTAAACCCTTCCTGTTCCCTCCCGCGATCCGCGAAATTGAATTTCCTCGCAGAATTCAACGCCAAACATCAGCAGCCGTTCATTTTTCCTCATACACGTCAGCGCAGGCGAAAGGGCGAAAAAAAAAAAAAAAAAAGAGAGACGCTTTCTAATAATCGAGCGATACCTGGGTGTTCGCGTTTCTCGAGGTAAGCCGGAAACGAGTGCAGAAACTCGATTAAAAAACTGACCGAGCCCAGCGAGCGCATATTCGTTTGCATCGTGCTCGAGGGACACGTCGGAAGTGCGATAACGACAGTTCTTTATATTCCACCTCCGTCCGATATAACGAATCCTCTCGTTAGCACGATTTCGAAGTCCCCCAACCTCGTTGCATCCACCATTCTCCCGTTTCCAATGACGCTGGACTCTACTCTACTCTGCTACAGCCCCCTATATCCGTTCCTTGTTCTTTTTTTTTTTTTTTATTTTCCTTCGCCCTCGAACGATCATGCACTAGGCGACAGATTTTAATTAGCGATATACGCGATATATGCGATCGAACCTCACCCTCTCCGATAAGTCTTGTCTTGTTTCCTATCCTGTTACAACGAATCCTTTCTCGATATTGTACTCTTGCTCGAATGTTTTATTTGTTCGATTGTCTCGATTTTTTCCCTTGTCCTTCCCCTTTCTTTGTCTATTCTCTCTCTTTTTAGCCGTGATTCGCTGAGAAAAACGTCCGGCGATGCCTCTTAGTTCCTTTCTTTCTTTTTTTTTTTTAATCGAGGTCTCCCCTTTTATCTCGTCGCGTTTGTCATTTTAATCGCTAGCCGCGGACGAATTCAATTCTTTTTCTTTCAAAGCTTCTTATCGCCTTTTTTACCAACATCGCGGCCATTCGGGCGATAAACGCGAAATTCTCCAGATAAGAATTTCTTTTCTTTTTTTTTTTTTTTTTTTGTTTTGTTCCCATTCCAAATACCCGGCGGTCTTTGCTACCGCGACTTGCCACCAACTTCCGTGAAATTGGACTCGTTATATCATTCTACTCTTTTTTTTTTTGCAACTTCTTCTTCTACGCTCCTCTTTATTCATACTTCAATCTTTTCTTCTTCTTTTTCTTTTGGCTTCTGGAAAAAAGCTTGCAGAGACATTCTTCAGTGGTTGTTTTCTATCTCCTCTTTTTCTTTTTCTTTTTCTTCTTCTTCTTTTTTTTTCTTGTATTACGACTATTGAAACGGGAGGTAGCTGATGAAAGCGACACGAGCTTTAAGCGCTTTTGTCCTGCAGCGTTTGAGGGCCGCGTCGGGCTTAATAATGTTGAGCTTCGTTAACGGAAACGCGGCGAATGAAAATATTTCCTGATGAACTGAAGTCCCTGTAAATGTTCCCTCGCTTTCCCTTTCTCCGTCGGAAATTTCTTTCGGACGAGGATGCCTCGTTACAGCCCGAATGAACTTTTTCTTTCTTTCTTTCTTTTCCTTTTTATTCGTTCGAACGATATCTGAAAGATGCTCTTGGTTAACGAGAGTTTCATTAGCGGAAACGTAAATAGCTTTCATTATCGTGCAATTTACACTGTGAATTAATTTCTTTGGCTGTCCCTTTCATTCTAATGGATTTTAGAGAGCAAGAAGCGCGACAAGTAACACGCTTCTTGCCCAAGGCATTTATTGCCTCGGGCTAATTGCAGGACTGATGAAGCTTAGAACACTATGATATATTAACGCAAAATGTCACGTTACAAGAAGCAGGATTAAATTTCATCGTCCTAAACGGGATAATATTGAACTGTGTTTCCAACGTAAATTCGTTTCACTTTCGATATATTGATCATGCCACTCTCTGTTTCTTTTTATTGTTAAACAATTTCAGTCTTTCACAAAATATTTAAAGTGTCTCCGACAGAAAGATTATCCATCATCAACTTATTCAGGAAATTATTATTCAAATGCAGGAAAATTTCTATGAAATTTCTCCGTTGAATGTCACGTTCATCTTCTTTGTGATGAACTCTTTACCGCGACGTTATCAAACTAATAACAATAACCTACCCCACGATAGCGGTTCAAAGGGTCTATTCGACATTCTTGAGGCTCGAGCGAAACGTCGACGACAGAACTCCCTCAACAAGAACCATCCCATATCCGTATATTCTCGCGGGGAGAGAGAGAGAGAGGAAAAAAAACAACCCTAGTGGAACTGTCGTTTCACGCGTGTCGTTTGGACGCCATTAAAAACGGTCGTTCGCGTATCCACGCTCGTGCAAATCGTCTGTCTATAGCACGCAGATACCATCGAACATCGCATTAAATCCCCCCCTGGGGAGAGCTCGAAAACAGACAAATAGTTAGTTTATCTCGCGTTGGGAACTGGTCAGCTCCCGCGACTGCCAGATTCCAATAGCATTTTTTCATCCACTGCCTAACCGATCCGCCGCGATTCAAGCGTCGAAGTAAATGGAATAGCCTGGTATCAAGGGGAATATCTAGAGCAACGCACGAAATGGTCGACGATTCGAAAGCTTTCAAGCCAGTCACTGGGCTAACCACGATCCCACTCCTCTGCTTCTGGCGTTTCACTCCTCTTGCGGAGACTCTTCAGCCACCCCATTGCTTCCTGCCTCTCTCTCGTTCTTTCGGTCGTTGCGTATATATATTCGTCTGCCTCCGTTGGCTCCCTGTCTCTCGAAAGCCTTCGGCCAGGCCGCAGGATAATAGCGATCGTCATTTAGCCACTTCCGGTGGTTCGATAGCGTTGCGCGATTTACATGAAAATCTTCTCTGGAATTTCCACCGAGATTGCGCGGACCGCCGAGAGGGAGAGACAGGCTGTTTCCCTCGATTGCAGGCTGATCGTTCCTCCTTCGGGTTATTTGCCTCCTCGATCGTTTGCCACCGTGATTTTCGCCAGTTTCTAATCCGATCTTGCGGTCATCGTTCACCACGTGAGTCCAGGTGGCAACGATCTAACTGGCAAGAATCGAACAAAGTTGAAGTTCTCCTCTTCCCGTTTTAATTTTCGAATAATTGTTGATTCAAGCGAGGAATCTTGAAATAGAGACTAAGCTGAAGAAATCGGATTATATATAATTATATATTATATATTATTATATTATAATATGTAAAATTATGATTTTATTATACATGTTAAAAAGAAATATTTCCGATTTCTTCATTAGTCTCTATTTCAAAATTCCTTATGTGGAACACATAATTTTATAATAATATATATATATATATA